TCAAGGGGTGACCAGAGGTGGAAGTGTGGGATGTTGAGAAGGTGTAGGGAGGGTGCTGCTCGGCTCTCAGCATGGGGCGTGTGGGGTGGGGAGGAAGCCCCTCTGTTTCCTGGACCAAGAGGGAGGAGGTGGGAGGGCGGCTGACCTGAGTCCAGGTGCTGGAGGCTGTGGGCAGGCGAGGACAAGAATGAGCGAGTGTCCAGGAGAGAAGGTGCAGGTGCCAGGCCTGGTCGCCCCAGAGGCAGTGGAGGCAGGAGCAACTGGGGTTGGGGGCTGTGTTGGGGGCTCTGTTGAGTTCTGGCTTCCACACAGGCCTGCAGACCCACCACGGGGCTTGGACTAGTTGGTTTTGGGCTCTGAGCGACAGCAGAAGGCTGGTCGGCCAGGCTGGGCAGGTGTGAGGGCCCAGGGCAGAGTGGAGGGCTGAGGGCAGGCAGAGTAGGTGTGTATGAGTGTGTGGCAGGGGCAGGGGCGGGGCCAGCACAGGGCCTCTATCATCTCTGAGAAATGGGGGGTTTGGGGGGGCCTTTGTCCCGGGACAGGCTGCTCCTGGCTCTGGCCAGAGCCCTGGGGAACAGCCAGAGAGAGGCCTGACTCCAGACGCGGCGAGCCTCCCCCAGCTGGTGGCCCCTTGGTCTCAGCTCCTCCAGTCCCTTCTCCCCCTCCCCGGCCAGGGAGCTGGGTCAGGGCATCTGGGTGGAGGGGCTGATGCCAAGCACTGGGCTGGCCCCAGAAGCGCCATAACATTTGCCCAAGGCCTGCACAGGCTCCTGGGAACCACTGGGCGTCTCGTCAGGATCAGGAACAGCTCAGAGCTGGGAGCGGGGGCGCAGCAGGGGACCCCAGCTGTCAGTCTTCCGTATCAGGCTTCTCCCGGGCCTCAGTTTCTCCACCTGTCACGTTGGCATATTGTTCCCTGCCCTGGCTCCTGGGATGGGACTAAGCACAGAGCCGGAGGGCCACCCGGGCCCAGCCTGGGGCGTGAGGAACTGCAGGGGGGGTGGGAAGGGAAGCAGCCACACGGAACATCTGGGTGCAGGCGCTGCCTGTAGCCACTGTAGCCACAGGTGCGTCCCGATGGCCCCGATGTCAGAAGGACACAGGCTCATCACACGTCAGGAAGGGGTGGTGGCGGGAGCCTGGCCTGGGGCACGGGAGGGGCCCTGCTCCTGCTGTTCTGGTGCTGAGGAGCGAGGGGGGGTGAGCGCTGCGCCCTCTCCCGCAGGCCTGGGCCTGGCATGGTCGCCCTTCTCTGTGTTGGGAGCAGGTGCCAGGGGCTCCTTATACCAAGGCCTTTGTGGGTTGGAGCAGCCTGTCCCTCCAGAGCACCTCAGCCCCGGGCTTCATTCCTCACCTCCCCTCTGCACCCCTGGGAGCAGGAGCTGCCTGGGCCCCACCCAGGTCCGCCTCAGACTGCACTGTGTGAAAACTGGGGTTCGGATCCGGGCTCAGTCCCTGCCCGCGGGTGCCCTCCTAGCCCTTACTCACTGGGGCCTCGACTTCATTCCGACAGAAATATGGGGTGGGTGTCAGTTTCGAAGGAAGGCGGGTGTGGGCCCATCGCTGGGCCGTCCTCCCTGGGTCCCCTGACGCCCCTTTCGGTGGCGGACTCTGCTCTCTCCCAGCCCTCAGCGCTGGCAGCCTCTGGACATGGACATTAAGTCCGACCGGAAACCCTTCCTGTCCAGGGGAATGACTGGTTTCCACGGCTCTGGGAGATGTCGAAATGCAGGCTGTGTTTGCCTTGGGTTTGTGTTTTTTTTTTCCACGGAAAACAAAACAAGCACAGGGGCCCCTGCACCCTGACACGCAAGGGCAGATGAGCGAGCGTGAACCTGGGGCCTCAGCCCAGCACACAGTGGGCACTCGGCGAACCTGGCACACAGTGGGCGCTCAGTGAGCCCAGGAGTCCCGGGTGGGAGGCCCACTCCCCCTCTGACTTCCTGTGTGATCTCTGGCAAGGCTTCTGCCTGAGCCACAAGCAGTGGGAGCAGGAGATCCACTGCCCCTGGCTCCCGGGTGCCAAGCGCGCACTGTGCCTCGTGCTCCCTGGGCCATCTTGTCTGCACCCTAACCCCGCGGAAGCTGGGGCTTGGAGGCAAGGATCTGCCACCTCACACAGCCGGGCAGGTCTTGGGGACGGGGCGCACTGAGACAGACCCTGCTCTGTCCTCAGCCTGTCCCTGGAGGGCAGCCCCTTCCTGGCCCCTGGCAGTGTCTGCGGAGCAGCAGGGCAGGTGATTATTCTCTCCGCCTCCCACTCTGTGTGGGCTGAGTCCCCTCACCGCTCACGGCCTGGCCAGCTGACGCCACCTGCCTTCAGACCTGGCCCAGCGCCTTGCACACGCCTGAGGGGAGGCCGCAGAGGCGTGTCCTCCCTTTGTGCCCATAAGCAGGAAAGGGCTGGTGGCTTCCAGACTCGCTGTGCACCCCAAGGGAGACAAGGGGTCCTGCTCTGGAGTGGGGGGGGGGTCTCTGTTCCTGCCCCTGCCCCCTCCCCCATCCCAAGGCCTCCCATCTTGTTTCTCTGCCCCATCTCAGAGGCTGAACTCAGGAGCTGGCCCACAGACATGGTGTGATCTGTACACTTGGTAAATATTTAGCAAACTAGTTGCCAAAATTAAAACGGACAATTTCACACAAGAACCTGCATTTCCAGCCTCCCTCCCCCGACCACACACACTCTGGGCAGTACACTCGCAGCACCACTGGCTGGAGCCCAGGGTGCGGTGCCCCCCAGTGAGGCTGCCCCGCCCACCTGCCTCCGCACGATGTCACTGTCACCCCCACGGGACCACGAGGGACCACTGCGAAGCCCGGTGCTCCTCAGCCGTGCCCATCGGCCTGACCGGGGCTTTAAGAACCCGAGGACATGTCCAGGCCGGTATCGCAGGGTCTCCAGTGAGAACAAGGCCCTGTAGGTGCTTCTGTGAGCAGCAAGGCTGGGGATGCGCAGTGTCTGATCCTGGACCGAAGACTCCGGATGCAGGTCGCTTTGCGTGGCTCCCGAGCCGCTGAGCGTGGCTTCCTGTCTGTGGCCCCAGCAAAGCCCATCACGTGACAGCCCAGCCCCTCGGGGACTTGCTCAGAAGAGGGACCCTCGTCCCTTTGCCTGACTCCCCAGGAGTCCAGGACACTGTGCTTTGCTGACTGTGATGCCCAGCGTCAGAGGCCCCAACCCCAGCCTTGGCGCGAGGGCCAGTGTGAGCAGGGCCCAGGGCGCCCGCCGGCTCTGCTCCCAGAAGATTCACTCCTATATATGGTCACCGGCAGTCCCATCGCCCAGCTAACGTGTGACCTAATGTGCTGACAATCTCGCCCGACTTGGGGAGGGCTCTCGCCCAGAGAGAGTGTCCACTTGGGGCAGAGGGGCTGGGAGGAGGCCCATCAGTGGATGGAGGCAGGGCACGGACGGTGGACCCAGGCCCGGGAGAGCAGAGGGCGGCCGCAAGTCCCTCCCTCCCCCTCGGCCCAGAATCTGCGAAAGCGCCCAGCTCCCCACTGATGTCTGTGTAAACAAGGAAAGCCACGAGCCTCCGGCCTTTAAAGTCCTTTAATGCCGCAGGAAAAGACTATGTTTCTACGGGCAAGCCGCATACAGATTCTCCAGGAATAAGGCACACAACGGAATGCCATCCCGAGGGCGACCCTCGGAGAGGTCAGGGGCCTTGCCGCGCTCTCCGAGCTGGGCCCACGGGCCATTTGTCTCTTTAGCTGGACACACACGCATTAATGGATACAGACACGGACAGGTCACCCCACAGGAGTAGAGGAGGTGAGCGGTGAGGCCGGCAGCGGAGAGCAGCAAGCCCGCTGCCACCAGCCCCGGGGACACCTCCCGCACGTCAGGGTTAGTTGTTGCGCTGGCTACAATGTAGTGATGTTGGTTAAATACTCAGGTAGAATAGGTTCAAGTCTATTAGACGTTGGAGGGCAAGTGAGGGCTCTGGTTGACAAATCCAAGTTCTAAGAGCCTGGGGCTCCGAGGCATGGCTCAGACGGCCACCCAGAGGGGTGTGAAGACTGCCTCCCTTCCTCTCGCCCGCCCTCCGGGGCCCTGCTGACCGGGCCTTCCCCAGGCCAAGGCCACAGGGGGCTAGTTAGTCACATGCCCCTTCCTCCCCTAGCCCACCTCCTTGCCCCCTACTAAACTAGTAACCATAATAACGAGAGAATAATGAGAAGGTGCAAGGGAACGGATTACAATGCTGTTTGTTATCCTCAGCTGAGGAGGCTCAAAGGGGTCACCATCCCCCTTTCACTACATACCTAAGAAGAGCTTCCCTTAAAAAGGCAATACTTTCCAGATACACATATGTATAAATACAGGACAGACACATATCACTGAGTCTAAGCACTGGGGTAATATGCTGGCTACTTAATACTGATATTTTCATCCAAGGAAAACAACACAGAATAGCAACAATATGGCTTAAAAATTGCAAAGGTGTTTTTTTTCCTCATCAGAATTATGTACCAACTTCATAAAATATTCTATGGAGACAATATTTCCTTCTTAATGTAGTTCAGTTGCATACTTTTTACAGACCAAAGTATAGTAAAAAAAAAAAAAAAAAAAAAAAAAAAAATAACCCAAATGTCCTTTAATGGGTGACTAGTTAAACAAACTGTGGTCCACTAGTCATGCAATAATTTTGGCTGAACTTCAAGGAATCTATGCTTAGTGAAAAAAAGCCAATCTCAAAAGGATATAGACTGCATGGTTCCATCTATATAACATTTGTAAAACAATATTTATCCAATTAGAGAGCAGCTTAGTGGTTACCAAAAAAAAAAATCAAACGAAAAAAACCCCAGGAGAGAAAAGTTCTCACCATAAATATTTTCTCGCACCTCAACAAGAAGGTTTGCAAAATACTTCCAGACATTTTGTTTGATATTCTATTGCCCTCCCGAAAGCTCTGAAGTTTTGAAAATGCCTCTTTTTGTTTGTTTTTTTTATGTCAAAAATCAAACAATTATTTTTTTCTTTTCTTTTCTTTTTTTTTTTTTAAAAAGGCCTTCAAATATATACAGACAAAAATCACTGTGAGGATTTTTCAGGAGAAGGTAACAAATTCAGTGTTGTGAGAAAAATTGGAAACTATGCAGAAATTTTAACATCTATGATTTTTTTTCAAAATACACAAATAGTATTTTTTCTTTTAAAAAAGGAATTCTGTGTCAAGTATAACTCAAAATAAATACAAATTCACAAGTAGAACTACTGAATACTTCAAATGGGGTAAACACTGTTCTCTCCCAGCTACATCTCTAGACCTACTAACTGCAAGCGATTGTCCCTTTTGAACGTACTAAACCACACACTTGCTCGTTCCCTGGGCTCCCAGGCCTCTGAGCACTTCATTCCCACAGCAGCCAGCCTGGGCATCAGAAGCTTTTGCTGACCAAGTTCTGCCAGAACAATACAGGAGGGGGGTGCAGAGGGCCCAGCCCCCCGTGGCCAGCTGGGCACAGATGGCAGGGGCAATGGCTGCCAGCTGGACAAGCCCACGGGGAAGGTCACTTTGGGTGATAGCCCATCTCCTGTGGCCCGTGGAAGGCCCTGGCCTCCGGCGGCCTGGAGTCCCGGCTCTTTTAGGGTGTGGGCTCCCCCACCTCTGCAGCAGACTTGGCAGGTTCCACTGTGGGGCCAGGTCCCTGGGAGAGTTGGGGCCGGATGCTGGCAGCGGACAAGCACACTGCCCACCACTGGGAGCATTACCTGTGGCTGCGCACTGGGATGACTGGCAGTGACAGCTTCTCCTCGGGCACAGTGCCTCCAGCCAGGGCGACTCCGCTCACCTTGGCCCGGTGGAGACAGCTGGAAACAGCTGGGCAGGGACTCCACCGTGGCATTCCCAGTGGGTGGGAGGGTGGCCACAGCCAGCGGCCAGGCATGGCTGCTGTGGGTAGGAGGGAGGCAGCTTTGGGGCTCAGGTTGGAGCAAATACCCCCCTTTTAAGTGCTCAGAGGCCGCGACCCCCTGAAATCTCCTCTGCAGCCCCCCTGGCTTCAAACACACTCACTCCATCTTCTCCACTTGCTCCCTGGACTCCTGGTTAACTTGACTGTAACTCCTCAGCTGTACAAACATTTTCATTTGAAAACAAAGGCACTGGACCCCGGCTGGGTGTCCCTGAGCCGCGGTAAACACTGGATTTCAGGCCCATTTCGTGGTCTGACTTTTTCCCACAGAGGCATCATGTTGGGGCAAAATCAAGTGACTCGGTCCTGCCAACCAGCTTTCTCCCTGTCCCTGGGAGAAAGGAAGGACGCAGGACAATAGAAACAGGCTCCTCCCTGAAGAGGGTGGTCCTCCCGCTGCCGGACAGTGTCTCCCTGCTCCCCCGGGGGAGGGGTTCTGCAGCGTGGCTTGGGGCTGCCCCGTGCGAGGTGGAGGGGGACCCTTCTCCTTCACTTTTGCAGAGGTGGGGACCACAGGCAGGGGTGGGGACCACAGGCAGGGATGGGGACGACAGGCAGGGATGGGGCTGGCACCCTTGGCTTGACTGCAGTGATGGACTGATGGGGGATGGTGTGAGTGTGGGACCTGGAGACACTCTCCAAATTCAGTCCTGTGCCCAGGAGGTGCCCCCCACCCCCACTTACTAGTGTCACTCACTGACCTAATGGGGAAACTGAGGCCCGGAGACGAGAAGTCCTCCCCAGGTTCCATACTTTGTCAGCGGCAGGGTCAGCACTTGAACAAAGGTCTCCAGACTGCCAGGCCCATGCCCTTCCTGCCACAGCGGCTGCCACAGGGCCCTCCAACCTCCATCGGGGATGGGCCGAGGGTGGGAGGTGAAGAAGGGAAGGGATGGGCTGACAAATCCAAGCACGTGGGGAAAGTGTGTGGTAGGGGAGGTGATGCCTGGTGTGCCCCAGGCCACACCTTGGGACTCTGTCCAACATTCACTGCTGCCCCGTCCCTGACCTCTGGGTCTTTGGGGAGGCGGGTGCAGAACCCGAGTGTAATACCAGTGACGTCAGAGGCAGTCAGGTTCGGGGCTCAAAGTGGACAAGGGGCAGAGAGGCTCACTCCCAGCAGCCGCTAGACCAGGCCTCAGCTCGCCATGACTGCTGACCTGAACGGGACACAGAAACGGGGTTCTGTGAGGGTGCTGTGCGCATGGGGCAGCCTGGAAGGCCCTGGGGAGGAGAAGGCGCCGGCTGGTCTTGGGGAGACAACCCCCACAGGCTTTGGGATTCACAGTAAATTTAGTGCACTTATGGCCAATGCAAGGCTGCTCACCAAAGGGGTCTCAGAGGAGGAGAGCCTGCAGGGGACCCCGAGGGCTTTGTGGGTCCTGTGCATCCACCCCTGCTCGCCCCCAGTCCCCCCACAGACTCAGCCCACCTGGAGAGTCCCAGAGACCCCGCCTTCCGTGGGGCAGCTATGTCAGTAACACTGTCTGTCAACACACATGAGACAAGAACCTAAGACCCCCTGCCCAGACCCGCATGCCTGTGAGGACACCCCCACACACATGGGGACACGCAGCAACATGGACGAACACGGCGGGTCTTCTCTGGCTGGCGGAGGTGGCGCGCGGGCCGGTCATTGCACTCGGCGGCAGTAGTAGCCCAGCACCTTGCACTTCTCGCACAGGTGCTGGGGGTGCTCCTTGCTCTGGTCGGACACGTCCAGGCCATCGGGCTTCTCCAGGGGCCTCTGCAGAGAGGAAGTGGGAAGAGGGCTCAAGGCGGGAGACCAAGGTGCAGCAAGAAACACAGAGTGAAGCCGGAGAGAGAGAGGGCGAGAGAGGGCGAGACAGGAGGAGCGAGACATACACAGAGGGAGCCCAGAGGGAGTGTGCTGTGGCCACAGAGGTTGCTTCCCTAGGCACCAGGGCCCTTCCTGCCTCTTGCTGTCCCCAGAGGCACAGGCTGGGGCCTTGGGCTGGGCCAGGGCTGGGGGAGAGGGTCCTATACCCAGAGCCCGGGTCTGGACACCCTTTGCCATTCCCCAGTACCCTCTGAGCAGCCACCGCCAGAAGCTCACAAAAACCTGGGATAGAGGCAAGACAGGTGCACAGACATTATGCAGATAAGGGAACCAAGGCCCCGAGCCAGGGAGACCCCAGCCTACACCTCCGGCCTCCCGGCACCCAGCGCTTCTTCCCTGGATGCTGTCATTCCCGTGCCTCCGCGTGTGGCCTCGGGACTCAAGCAGAGTTTAACCTGGACACGGTCGCAACTCTTCAGGTCTGAGGGAATGAGCCCTCAGTTCTGTGAGGGGCCGGCAGCCGGTGCTCTGGATCCCCCACTCCCCAGGGCCAGGCACGCCATCTGCCATGTCTGTTGAGGCTACGTGAGCGGAACCTCCTGGTTTCCTGATAGGGAAACTGAGGCCCAGAGCAGGGAGCTGATGCTGCTCACTCCCCGTGCGACCTCAGGGAGCCTCAGTTTCCATGTCTGTGAAGTGGGCCATCGTCACACCTCATTTGCAGGGCACCGGGAGGATTCGGAGGTCTTGGCGTTTGTAAACCGAGCAGCGTAGGCACCTTTCTGTTACCAGGAGCACGTCCCTGCTCCCTCTCCCCCCACCCCACCCCTCCCTGGCCTCACAGCCAGCCAAGCCTGGTCTCCTTGGAAGGTTTATGGATGCTATTAGGCGCGTTCCCGAGCAGTTCCTTGGCACAGCCCTGGCCCAGAACCCTGCCTGCAGAAGGGTCCCCTGCATGGATTTGGGGGGAAGCTGGCCAGGGCAGGGAGTCTTAGGGCCATTGACCATGACCCAGGATGGTCCTGGGAGGACAGTGAAGGTGAGCGCTGCCCCCTGGCTAGACCGCAAGCCACTCAAAGGTAAAATATTGCCTTTTCTGCCCAATGATGCAGCGCCTGGCCCCGAGGTGGCACTCAGAGTGAGCAATCGGGGATGGAGAGGCAGAGGGCTCTGGGAGATGCGCGTAGGGACCGTGGGTGGGCAGGGTTAGGATCCAGGGGCAGGAAGCCCATCCCTGTGCTTCCAGGCCTGAACCACACAGGACGGACTGGAAAAAGGATGGGAGCATTGACCTCACCGCCAGGGGCTTACAGACGACCGGCTTTCCTGGCCAGAGAAGAGTTTGTCCCCAGGGCACCTGGGCTGGAACACCAGCTCTGCTGCCCGCGAGCCGGGCGACCTTGAGCAGGCCACCCGACCTCCCTCCGACCCTCCATTTCCCCATCTGTAAAAGGAGATGTTACAACACGTTTCTCATGAGATGCTGTTCCAACTCAATGAAGACCAGGAATAGAAAGAGACAGCACATAGACGCTATTCATGCTGCTGCCGCCGATGATGATGGTGATTAATGGAAGGGGGACAGTTGGTAGAGTCAATACAAGTTGAAGCCAGGATTCCAAACTGAAAGGCCCAGGCAGGTCACATCCCCTCCCCCCCCCCCCCCCCCCACACCCACCCCCCACAACCCCCCAAC